AAGCTTACGCATACTCAGAGCAAGTTGCTTTTCAGTAAAAAAAACATTTTTCTGTCACCATTTCCAAGGTTATGGGGACCTGGCTCTTATACTCTTTTCTCATTGTTTTCAAATTCAGAACAGAGACTAAGTAAGCTGGAAGTTAGCGGGGAGTCCATCTTGTTCTGCTCTTCCATTTCATAGACAGCCGTGGAACACAAAGTGTCATGGTTCATCTATACCAGAGTTGGAACTAGAACTCAGTCTTCCTTGCTGCTAGTATGAGTCTCCTCTCTGCATTCCCCTGCCTCTCCAGCACCTGCAGTTGCCCAGGGCTAAGGAAAGTATACAGTCTAAAATGCCACTTTGTGTTGGCATTCTCCCTGCCTGAGCTGTCTTGTCTGTGTGGCTTTTGAAGGGATGGCAACTGGTGTGCAAGAAAGAAACATCTGATAGCAATGCCAACCATGGACTCATCTTTGAGTATCACCCACCTATCTGCGTTGTCTGTCACAGTTTGCCTAGTCACTTCCTGTTTCAACCCACTCACCAACCCATTGGCTCTACAACCTTTGTCTTATGTATTCTTCTGAAATTGCTTTTATCCCATTTTCCTTTATTCTTTGCATATAGGTAGGAAATAAACGAAAGATGTATTTGTATGAGAGGCCTATTATGAGTGCATGTTGTGAGGAGTTCACAGTGCAGAGTTGAAACGATCTCCAAAAATGAACTCACACAGTCTTTGAGGGCAAACACCAAAGCATGCCTGGAAATGTGGGGTGTGTGTGAGTATATGTGTGGGGACGCATGCGCAAATGTTTGGGAAGTATAAGTATATGGGTTGTAAATGTAAAAATTGTCCTTTAAAATAATGGGTTCAGATTTAGACAGAAGGGAGATGTTGGTGTGGGAAATTGGTTCAAACAGGCCAATTGTTGATGTGGGGTTCCATCTAGAAGGTCATCCTCCAATATCCATGCTGGGTTGCCTAGTGTTGTGAGTTGGATTGAAACAGTAGAAAGAGCTCAGACAGTGGAACCAGAGTGCCTATGTTTAAACTCCAGCTCAAGCACTTAGAAATTAGTATGAGTTGAGAAATCTGCCTAACTTCTCTATTTCCTCCTCTGTAAAATTGGAAGAAATATAGTATTTACTTCCTACAGTCATTACATGAGACAAAACATGTAGAACACTGAGTCTAATGGGCCTATACATAGTAAGCAGTTGATAATAATTAGCATAATTATGGGAGCACGGAGGACGAGAAAGAATATGCATGATCAGCAGAAGGGGTTGGTCAACTGGACAATATCACTCTGATCTTGTGTTGAAGCTATTGACACCCAGGCATAGCATAGTATCAGAGAACTAGGCTTTGTGGCGACCATAGAGGACATCTTTCACTGAAGAAAAAACCAAGGCATACTGAGATTGGCTTTCCCAAAGCCAGTCAGGCAGGAAGCAATGGAGCTTGGCCACAAAGAGGACTCTGAGACTCATTGACCCTACTCCATTCTGTCACATTTCATTCCTGGCAGCTGAACTCTTTCCTGGTATCAGGCACACAACCCTCCAACCTCTGCATATATTCATTCAACAAAACTTTCCCGGCCATTTGAAGTGTGTGGATCCCTGTTGATCTAAAGATCAAACCAGACATGGTCCTTACATTCATGGAGCAGACAGGAAAAGGGGAAGAAAGATTCTAATCAAACAAACTAAATAAATGAAACAAAAGCAAAATTAAAAAAAAGTAAAAAATAGAAATGAAGTCTATCTGTGTGCCACTGCTGTGTCCTCTTCGTTAGAAGAGCACCACACTGGTCGCAGCTGTGGATGTGTATTTGTTGAATGAATGCTAGCTAATGCACTGTGCAGAGTGCAGCATTCAGAAGCACTATAGGAAGGGGTGTACAAGGGGGGAACTGATCTACTCATAGAGGTTTGGGAAGGCTTCCTTCAGGAAGGGATGCTGACAGGTGAGTGGACACCATCTGGGCGAAACAAGGTACAGTGAATTATGGGGATTGGTGGTGCTTTAGTAAAAGGCACAAGGGACTTTGGAGGAAAGGAAAGTACAAGTCCAGATGAGCGATAATTCTGGCAGCCATATCAAGGGAAGCAGTGAAAAGATGGGCCGTATCAAAAAAAGTGTTGGCAGATACAAGTAGTAACCACAATATCTTGCATTTATACAACCAGCTTTCTGTTTGTCATACCTCTGTGATGAACACTATCTTATTGGTAATTCACAATGACAATCAGCAGGCCAGGAAATATAATCCCAATTTTAACTGGGTAAACTGAGGCCTATAGTCTTTGTGTTTTGTCAAAGTAACACATCTAAACATAGCATTTGTGGGACTTGCTATATATGACCTTATTTAGTTCTCTCACCAATCTTTCAAGGCAAGTATTAATACCCCATTAGCATACATGGAGAACGGAAGCCTCAGCAAGGTTAAGTAGCTGATATGTGGCTTACTGAATTGGGATATGCAGCTACATCTTTCCTGTGGACTGAATTGTGCCCCCCAAATCCATATGTTGAGGTCCTAACCCCCAATACATATTTGGAGATGGGCCTATTAGGAAGAAATGAAGATTAAATGAAGTTATAACAGTAAGGCCCTGATTTGCCAGGATTTGTGTCCTAATAAGAAGACCCAGCAGAGAGCCCTCTCTCTCTGTCTCCCTGTCTCCACACAAGCTCAGAGAAAAGGCCGTGTGAGAATGAAGTGGCCTTCTACAAGCCTGGAAGAGAGACTACATCAGAAACAGATGATAGATCTTCCTGACTTGATCTTGGACTTCTGGCCTCCAGAATGGTGAGAAAATAAATCTCTGTTTTGTAATCCCCCAGCCTATGATATTTTGTTATGACAGCCCTACAGACCAATATAGTCTGAATATACAGTTGCTGTTGTTATCTGCTATGACACATCTCTTTCCTTAGTTAATGGTAAAGAGGGACAAGAACCTAGATCATCTAGTTGTCAGTCCTAGCTTCCTCCTTATTGGCCATATTCCCTGCCACTGGCAACTCCACTAACTGAGGGGGTGGTGGCAGGGTCAGTGCAGAGCAGGACTCCAATCCTACTTGTTCCTCTCAATTTGATCAAGACATGAACATTCATGGATATCAAGATGTGGGCGGAGCCAGTGGCCTGTGATTGTCTTGGATCCAATGCAGTGAAAAGCAAGAGTTGCAGAGCTGAGTGCAGGTCTGGAAAATTAAAAAGTTACCACTTTCTGTGTGACTGAGATTGGTCATAGAAAAATACGGCTTTGAGGCTTCTGCCTCTGGAGTAGAGCTGAGCGCCAGCTGTTGCTTCATCTCAACGTGTGAGTAAGTGTATGAGCATGTGTGTGTGTATGTCTCACTCTGCTTATCCTCTGGGTACACACTTTAGCATCAGATGAAGTGGCCAATTGTGGGTCTCAGCCAGTACCTGTTCATGAGCTATGTGTACTTCAGTGTTAGTTAATCTCTTTGGTCCTCCTTTTACTCATCTTTAAAATGGGGTTAATAACTTGTCTTGCAAAGTACTAATATGACGACTAGAAACAGCAAATATTTAGTAAATGGTAGACACTATTATAATGACTAATGATCCCAAGTACTTCTATTTTAAAATGAAGTTTCTAGCATTAAATCATTAAGCCCTTTTTGCCTTGGGTTAAAAGAATAAAACACTCATACTAGGGTGACTTCCCCATGGAGGAAATTATCTGATAATCCATTTGATCTCTGGGCTGGGTCCCTCTTTGTGCTGCTGTGTGCAGAAATAGCAGAATACTCACTCCTTTTAAAGGCCACCAAGTATAAGTTTACTGTTTTGTGGTAAAACCCTCTCCCCTGAAATGTCCAATGATATTTCATTTGTGTGCATGTGAAAGCCATCATATTCTACATGCTCGTTACCCAAATGGTGCAAACCAACCCCCCTGACGCCTATCCACTAGGGAGAAATAAATTAAGGGTGTGGAGCAGGCAAGCCTATCTTTGACGTAGGCTTACATTCTGAAGTGTAGGCATTCAGGCAGGCAGAGGAAGGAAGGAACATGCTGTACCCACCTGCCACTGCTGATGAGGGGCTTATTTCTAAGACACACACAGCACAATGCACACACAATGCAGAGAGAAAACAAAAGACATAGATCACACATTTCAGATGGTTGATGGACAAAGTTTAGTTATTGTCAATGCTGAAAGCTTGTTCAGGGTCTGAGGTGCACATGGACAAATGAATACCTTTTCATCCTACTCACCAGATGCTTCCCTCTAACCAAATCTCAGCAAATAAACAAATACATACACGCAAGAAAAATCACAACGAGCTGGCCTTGGCCCATGGTGTGAAATGTTGCAGAAGGAGATGGACACAGCAGTGTGGGAAAATTGAGTGAGGAAGAGATAAGGGCTTCCAAGGGCGCCAGTCACGGCTCTGGAGACCTCTCCATCCATATGGGAGGGAAAGACCTTCAGAGAAGGGTTTGATACTCCAACTGTGGACAGAGCAGTCATCTTCATGAGGACTCAGACTACTGCTCCATTCATTCCAAGGAATGAGGATATGACATGGCAATCAACATGTGAATCATGATGGCAGCAGTTGACTTGGTTTAAAACTCTAAATATAAATCCCAGAATCATAGACTGTCACTATAGAAGGTATCTTAAAATTATATCTAATTTACCCCTCAGACCTTTCAACAGTGCTGCAAGTGAACTCTTCCATGGTTCTGTCTTCTTTATGGCAAACACGATTAAACATAGTTCAAAATTTGGTTTACTCCTTCTGTAAGGTGAAAACCTTGCTTTTCAATAGACCAGGAGATATCAATTAAAACATCACTGTATCACATGCTAGGAGAATGACGGGGAGAAGCATTCCGTGTCTAAGGATGGTGGGCGGAGCAGTATGGATGGACACAGGCCACGCAGATCATGCCTTTCTCCCTCTTGGTCCCTCTAGCTCCCCTGAGCCCACCGCACCCAGACTTCCTGCACTCACCATACAGTGTGATGCTGGCATTGGTGTTCCCCAGCTTGTTTGTGGCCACACAAGTATAGTTCCCATAATCCTTTTCTGAAACATTGAAGAAAGTCAGAGTGGATATGCGGCCTTTGTTCTCAATTCTCACGCCGTCCAGGCCGGTGGCTAGCCTGCAATAAGAGAAGGTACTACTGGTCTGGTTCTACAAATAAAGGGAGAAAGAAGACAGGAGATGCTGGGAGAAATCAAATGTACTATAGATAATCCTACAAGGATGCTCTCCTCCTCACAAAGACCCTTCCTCCAACTAACCCAGTCCCTCTACTTCAAACCACAAGCACTACAGCTTCCATTAGGAGGAAAACAGAAAGGATACTTATGTTCCAAAGGCTAAATTTTTGTGGCTTCTAGTTGTTCAAGACTGCCATGTCTACAACTAATCTCAGATTATGAAAGAAAGTCAATTCATTTTGCCCACTTCCCAGTTTCATCCGTTTTTTTTGTTTCTAGTTCTAACATGAGACTCTGTTATAAAGGAGGCCGCAACACATTTTGGTTTAGCAATATCTTTCCCCATGGCTTTATCATACTCCTACCATGTGGGGAGTGATCCATCAGCTCTGCTTCAGACATGCCCTACTTCCCTGTTCAAGGTACCTGGTGTCCTCCTTGAACCATTGGAATTCAGCCGCAGGCACTGCAGAGGCTTCGCAGCTCAAGATGCCTTTCTGACCAACTGAGACACCGGTGTTCCTCGCTTTTGAGATATAGGGAGGGTCTGTGGGGGAAATAGTGCAGAGTGATTCCATGAAACAGATGAAGGGAACATTCAGTCACCTGCTGTGCAAATGAATTTCTTGTGAGACCCCTTCTTCCCAGGTAAGTAACCACTTATTTTAGGAAAAGAACTTGCTTGAAGATATTACATTTACTCTAACATCTTCTTCAAGGTTTCAAACTGATTCAAAGTTACAAACTGTCCTCATTAGCTAAAAGCTCTCATGGTCACAGGAAGACTCCAGGGGCAAATGGCAATGGAGGCAGTGATGGGGCAAACCAATCCGATAAAGCATTTTCCTGTTGGAAGCAACTTGGGTCTATCAGAAAATGGCATTGCCATTACTAGCTTGTTCCCTTAATCCCTATACCCTCTTTTGCCCTAGAACTCCCTGACAATGGATCAACTCACAGTTTACAGTGATTTTTACTTTCCGCACGTCAGGTGCAGCGACATCATTCAAGGCGCTGCATTCATACTCCCCAGACTGGTCACGTTTGATGTCAGAGATTTCCAGGTATTCATCCTCACTCACAAAGCCCTGGCCCTCTGGGAAGAAAGAAACAGACAGGAAACAAGGGAGAAACTGTGAATCGGGGGACAGAATTGCATTCACATCCAGGGCTTGTAGGAGAAGGAAGAGAAAAAAAATGTAAAGATGGGGTTTGAACACCAAGTCAAAGATAATAGGACACCATAGTATGGTCAAAACGTATGGCATTTGATGAAAGAAATTCTCTGCTTGAGTCTTGGATCAGTGTGTCTTTGTCCAAGTCACTTTAACTTTTTAGACCATTTGATAAGAAGGGGATATCATTATCTTTCTTATATGATTATTATCAGGATTAATTAAGAAAGTACATGTGAAATAACCCAGTGCGTTACTAGACTTTGATATTTTAAAGAGAGTTGTCATAATCAATAACACAATAACACATGTAGGAATAACTTTAGGGTATGTTAATATGGACGTCTTAATTTTTCTCTATGTAGAAATGCCTTCGTCTACAGAACACAGACTATTACCTGTAGAATGAATAAGTGACTGTTCAACATTTTAGTACAATTAGAAGCAAAGCAGTTGATTTGGTTTCATACTGTGCCGGAGAAGATAGAGAGGAGAACGAATGAATGTGCAACCACTTTGCGACTGCTGTGTAGTAGCTGCTCAATAAACCTTTGCCAACACAAAATAAATGTGATAGCCCCAAAGAAGGTATCCATGGTTACTAGAACAGCCTCATGGATTTAATATCCAACTTTGTGGAACATTCTGGAGACTTTATTCTTAGGCACTTGTGAAGTTTGCAAGTCATGATCCAAAATATTCTGAGGCTGGAAAATTTACATTGCTTGCAGCCACCATTTTATATTCTTGCAACAATCTGGCCCCATTGCCTTATCCCCTACTCTACACCCTGTGATTCAGAGCAAAGAGAACAGACCTTCTGCCTTGAAACACAAATGTTCTGAGTTCTGAAGCACCAGGTTCCCATGAAAACCCAGCCAACACAAAAACACAAAGGTATAGCTATTCACATTTCTTATAGGCCTGCTGCTTCTTTTTATTTATTTATTTTTGTGAGGAAGATTCACCCCTGAGCTAACATCTGTGCCAATCTTCCTCTACTTTGTATGTGGGATGCCTCCACAGCCTGGCTGATAAGTAGAGTAGGTCTGTACCCAGGATCCTGTGGACCCCACCTGGAACTTTAACCCCTGGACCACAGGGCTGGCCCCTTGCTTCTTTTTTTTGTTTTGTGCTCCAGGTTTTAGAACAGAATTAGCTTTCAGGATGATAAAAACTCATCATAACTTTCCTCACACCCCCGTGGAAGCGTATTCTGATCCAATGGGTGCTCAATCAATTAAGTCTGGGTCCACCGTGGGTGTAGAGGATGAAGGTGGGGTGTCTCTGGGGGTTGGGTTGATGGGTGGGGAGTAGGGAGGCAGGTTCTCCGGCATCCTGACTCTGTTCCAAGTCTAAGCCTTTGGGAATTTCCACCCATCCTGCCCATTTCCCCAGACCACTTGCTTTTCAGCTCTCACTTCCTTCTTTGCCTCTATCTCCACCCCAGGTCATGCCTACGCAGGCTCTGCTGTCAGTGTCTGGATGCTCCTTACCAAGACCTTCCCTAGAAGGTGTAAGGCCCCAGGCAAATACTTTTCAAGGGCCCTCTCTCTAGATAAATAATTTGAGTTACCCCAAATCAGCACCATTCTGGTAGCCCAATCCAGGCAATTCCATGAAAGAAATCTTGCATTGGCCAGCAGGAGCAATCACTTGCCAGGCCACCCTCCTGGAGCTTGGACCTGTTGACAGGACCCCAGGACAAGCCCAGAGGTGTGGGTTTTGGGATTTTGGGAAATCTGGATGAATCCATGTGAAGAGGGGCTTAGGGTAGAGGTTGAAAATGTGCCCTGAAGGGGAGAAATAAGGCCCAGGATAGGCCCATGCACTCCCAGTCGAGGATCTCAGTGTCTCTCCTGAATGTGTTGCTGGCCTATGCTGGTCCCAGGCACCACAGGGGAACTTAGAAAATTTCAAGAAAGACACTCCAGAACATGGTGCCTCCTGGGGTCTGGGGTAGGGCCCTGTCCATTGGGGTCTCAGGGTGGTGGGGCCGATCCCAGCCCTCTACCTCAACATACATTTAATCATTCAGGCTAGTACATATTCTAATATTTTAATGATCATTAGAGGGATATAAACATCTTCTTATCTTTTTTTCCTTATTTCTCTTAGACAAAAGAACCTCAAAGTTGAAGGAGAATCTAAGATCACTTATTTCAGAAAATCTAAACAAGATAAAAATTTCCTTGCTTATTGAAATGATGCTGGTTGACTAAGTATTTTTCAGGATTAAACAACAATGAAATCAAACACACCCAAATGACTTTCCAGATTCACCAGATGTTTTCTACATTGAATACATATGGCTGGATCAGAAGTCTGGATTCCCACCACTAAGACTTCATTATTCTTTCTAAGGTACCACAGTGTATTTGCCACAAGTAGTTAAACTCCCCTGCATTTAACCAAACAAATGAGCTACCTGCAGTGGGCCTGGCAGGAGCCTCGGGCAGGGTCGCTGACCCCCTTTCCTTGGAGAGAATGAGATAGACCCGCATCATGCTGCAAGGTGTGCACCAGACAGATGTCTTAAAGCCTCAGATAAGGCAGGTCTAGGAATGCCAGTCAATGTAGAAGTCTTGGCCAGCACAAAGGGCAGGGATCACTTCAAAGAAGATAGAGGCCAATGTGAGTGATTCTTCTCATTTGTATGAGTAGGACAGATCCAAAGTCCTTCATGCGGGATCACTGGGCAACATGGCCACCCTCTGGAATGTGGGAATTTATTTGCACTATCTTTCATGCTACTTTTATGGGATGGTTATGTGACCCCAAAAAAGGAAGAAAGAGAGTGTTTCACCTAAAATGAAGATAGTTATGATCGTACTACCTCATTAAGCGAGAAAAAGAATTTTGTCAAATTTGTGCTACAAAGTAAGAGGTTCTCAGATTTTAATTTGCATATAAATTCCTCCAGAATTTAAAAAAATACATAGATTCTGATTCAGTAGGTCTAGAGTGGGGCCTGGTATTCTGCCTTTCTAACAAGCACCTAAGTACTTCCAAGCTGCTGGTCTAGGGCCCACACTCTAAGTAGAGAGGCTATAAGGCCCCATCGAGCGGCATTCTGGGCTCTCTGCTACTCACACGTTTAAAATGATCTGGTCTGGGAAGTGGCCAGTTGGTCAACAAGGCCTTCAGAGCGCTCCTCACACTGGCATCCTCGTGGAGCGCATCTCAAGAGCACCCTCTCTTAGCAGTGTAGGGCTCAGCAGGGCACAGCGAGGCTGAGGATCTGGACCCTTGAAGCTAACTTTTCCATTGAGTCTTTATGATTTTTCTGCAAAACATGCATCCTCTCAAACAGTTTTCTTTGATAAGAAATGGGAAGATGCTGTTGAAACTCCTCCCCATCTCAAGCCGACTGAAGGTGATCCAGATGCTATTTTCTTAACTACTTTGAATCATGGGTGAGATTTTTAAAGCAGAACAACTCTAAGTTGCTAAATGCCTGGAGACCTAGGAAACTGCAGGGTTTAACGCTCTCCCTGCCCTTTCCAGCTCTGGTTGCAAATGTAAAATTCTGATTCCATGCTGTAGAGAAAGGGGCAGAAGGCAACAAATATTTTAATCCTCTTTGCTAGCTGCCAGGAAGCCAAACTGCTGACTATGAAGACAGAGGGAGGGAAACAGGGAAAGAGAGAAACACATGAGGAGGAACAGGAAAGGAAGAAGGAAGAGGAGGCAGGATGTACTGGTGTACAGAAAGGGAGGCAGAGAAGGTCCAGGCAGGATGGCCCGGGTGTCATTGGAAAGATTCTAAAGCCACACTCAGAAGGGATTAAAAAAAAAAAAAGGCTACGAGGCTACAATATTTTCTCTGACAAACATGTGGAAACAAGCGCTCCAAGTCTGCCCGACAGTTTTGCTTTATGGTGAGATGTCCTGTAACAAGCCAGTAACCCAGAGGCGTTATCAACCTGCCCTATGCATTCAGACATCCCAATATAACAGGATTGGAAGCAAAAGGAAGAGGATTCTGAGTCATTGGCAGAAATATATTAAAAAATGGGGGTTACTTCTTTCCACGGAGGAGTGCTTCGAAGAAGATAAGTTCGACTCACTGTATTAGCAAGATTAAGATCTGCTAGGATACAAATGGGACCATTTATCAAGGGATGTGGGAGGTCCCTGGGCCAGGACCCCTCACACGCTTGGGGATAGGATGAGCAAGCCCCATGTTTCTGTGGGCACAAGGGGGCTTCTTCTATAGGGTTACGTATTCTGATTTAACACAGTGGCAGAAAGCAAAGAGCAAGCAGCATCCATGGGAGGGTCTGTTCCAGCTTAGAAATGGGGGAGCAGACAGAGAAACTGCCGTGGGGGAGAAGGATCCCTGGCGCAGCCTGCTGTCCCCGATGTCACCTGCAGTTATTATACTCATGCCCACCAGGAGAGAAGTGTGACGAGCGCTGGGTTAGCCACTGTCGGGGGTGGGGTTGATATTAAAGACAGGGTTCTCCATTTTGGGTAGTCTACAGTCTCACGAGCCTAGAACTGGAGTAGTTCATATTTTTCTGTCCCTAGGCTCAATTTTTCAATTCTTAATTATTTCTGGATCCCTCAAGTACGGCATGGTGGGTCAGAAAGATTTATTAGGGCTGGAAGAAACCTAAGAATTCAGGAATGAAAAGATGGAATAGGAAATCCAGATTAAAATCTGGACGCTTCCTCACCTATTTCTTCTCTTTCCTTTTCCCTTTACATCCTGTCCTTTCACATCAGCTGTATCTCGGCCATCACTCTTAAGTCTGATTTTTCCCTTCTTTTTCCCAACCAATTCCCTAGAATTATAAAGTTGGAAGTAACCAAGGGGTCGAAGATTTTTGCCTTTAACCTTTTAGGATTATCGTCCCTGATGGAGTATCTTCTCCTCGTGTGAATATCTCTAGCCATGATTTCAGGGCATGGCCTA